TCTGTCGTGCTGATGGCGAGGATCAGCAGCGTGGCCACGTTGAAAGGGTAGGACAGGACGGGCACCGCTGTCTGTAAAGGGGGACGCATTGGCACACTTTTGTCTGGGGGTTTATGGAAGTGTTTATAGAGTGGTGGTTTGTTGTTGTTGTTGTTGTTGTTGTTGTAGTTGTAGTTGTTGTTGTTGTTGTTGTTGTTGTTGTTGTTGTTGTTGTTGTTGTTGTTGTTGTTGTTGATGTTGATGTTGATGTTGATGTTGATGATGATGATGATGATGATGATGATGATGATGATGATGTCGATGTTGATGTTGATGTTGATGTTGATGATGATGATGTTGATGTTGATGATGTTGTTGTTGTTGTTGTTGTTGATGATGTTGTTACTGTGTGGTCTAAGGTGTTTTAGATGTGGTGTGTTTTGTGAGGGGGAAGTAATTATGAACTATTTTGGAGGCTTCGTGAATTTGATTTGTAGCGGAAATATTTTAGTGTGCCTACCATGAAACTAAACACAACATATACAAACGTAAAATCTAGTATCTACGTAAATAAAAAAAAAAAAAAATGGATTCGCAGTCATTACAGAACAAGCACTTACCGCTGAAAATATATGCACCGTTGCTGCCTGGACTGCGCCTGCCAGAGAAGCTACAATAATGGCAGCCACAAACACACCCGGCAGAGGGACGAGGAAGTAGGAGAGACCTCCGGCTGACAGCATGGCATTGTAGCCCCAAAGCCCTAGATAGACGTCTGTGTAGGGCGCAGTACTCACCAGCAACCCTGAGAGAAAAAAAAGGGGACGTCATTCGGAAATGCTTTAGTCTACCCGTAAAATTTGGAGCGACACCTCCGTTTTCTTTATTCAACTCTGTCCGATTCTATGGCTCATTTCAAGAAAAAAGGATATATATGCAGATTAAAAAGCGCTTCAAGATCTCACCAATCATTGTGCCAATGACGCTTCCCATGTAGAAGAAAACAGTAAGGAGAGGAGAGAAGAAGAAAAAGCCAAGCCAGACGAGGATGGAGGAGTCGACAGTCCCGACGCCATAGATCTGCCCCGAAGCCAGAAGCGTGCCCTCGAACACCTGAATAGTATTATAATAGTATAATAAGTAAAATAGATAAATAGATAAATAAATAAATGAATAATAAAAAATATCAAGATAAAGATAATATGAATGAAAATTAATCACGTTATGAGAGAATAAAAAAAAATCAAATAAAGTTCAAATTAAAATGAAACACGTTAAAAAAGTGAAGTGGAGAATTAAACGCGTTAAAAATAAATTAAATCAAATTAAATCATAAATAAGATTAAACATGATAAAAAATAGATAAAGTGAAGTGGATTGAAGATTAAACACGTTATGAGCAATTGTGTAGATATGTTCACACGCGAGCGCAAATATAATAACATTTACACAAAATTTGAAAAAGAAATACAACCACAATAAGACATGAAGTCATATAAAAATAATCCGTTTAAGATAAAAATAAAATCAAATAAGTGAACAAAAAAAAAAAAATCACGTTGTCACACGTTACGTCACGGCAGAACAGAGCACACAAAGTTAACTGTGAATGGACGGGCTTTTTACCTTAACGAGTAATAAACTTCTATTTCCTGCCCTTCGTGTATTGCCAGGACTGGCCTTAGAACCTGTTTCGATAGAACTGTTGTTGGGCTAACGTTTAGGATCTCGCTTTCTCTCTCCCTAACTCTCTCTCTCGCTCGCTCTCTCTGTCTGTCTCTCTCTCTCTCTTTCTCTCTCTCTCTCTCTCTTTCTCTTTCTCTCTCTCTTTCTCTCTTCCTCCCTCCTTCCCTCTCTCTCTCTCTTCCTCTCTCTCAATCTCTCTCCCCCCCCTCTCTCTCTCTCTTTCTCTCTCTCTCTCTCTCTCCCCCCCCCCCCCCCTCTCTCTCTCTCTCTCTCTATATATATATATATATATATATGTGTGTGTGTGTGTGTGTGTGTGTGTGTATATATATATAATACATGCATTACACACACACACACATATATATATATATATATATATATATACATAATGATATATATATAATGATATATATATGTAATGCATATATATTTTAATATATATTACACACACACACACACACATATATATATATACATAAACACACGCGTTTACACCCAGGCACATATACATCAGTGCATGTATACACAAGCGTATGTATAGGCACTCACTGCGATGCGACAAAGAATGCGTGGAAGGTATTCTTGTTAAAACTTTCGCATGTCATGTCATCGCGCAGGGAATTAAATGATTGACTCTCATATCAATTTCCTGAATGACTGTGACCTGTAGTTCAATTGCGGTTGTTGGTTAGACTTCCTGCATCTCGATCTCGCAGGATACGAGACTATTTTTTTTTCCTTGCATATCGTTTTTGTACAAGATTTTCTTCTTCTTCTTCTCCTTCCCCTTGTTTCATTGTCAAATGCCTTGTTAAATTCTCTACCGTCGTAC